TGCCGCGCGCCGGTGAGTAGTGTGGAGCCGGTGGGCGCGCTCCCGCGGCGCGGAGGGCCTGCTGCCCGCTGCCGCCGATGTAGGCCGCGCTAGGCCGGCGGGCGGGGACCCGGAAGAGGTGTTCGCAGAGAGGCGTGCAGGAGCTCGGGCTGTGCGGGCCCAGCGTTCTGCAGGGCAGGGAAGTGTGTGAGGCAAGGAGTGTGCGCGGAGCTCTTCGGGAGCGTGGGTTGTGCGGGCCCGAGAGTGTGTGGGGGCAGTAGTGTGTAGGAGCGCGGGGTGTGTGGGGCAAGGAAGTGTGCGGGGCAAGGAAGTGTGCGGGGAGGCCTGCACGAGTGCGGCCTGGATAGCTCCGGGGGATGTGTGTGTGGTGGGAAATGTGCGGCTCCGAAAGTGTGCTCTAGGAAGTTGTGTACTCTGGGAAGCAGTGAGAACTGATGTGCAAGGGAGGGAGTGTTAATGGGTTGGGGGAGGCATGAGCCTGGGCATTGGAGTATGTAAATAGGGAAGGGAAAAAGACCTAGGATTTTGACAAGGGCAGGGTGTGCACCTAGATATGTTTGTTGCGGTGTGGGGTATTTGCGGTAGTTCCTCGGCCTGGGACAAATTTAGGGTGTGAGTGGCGTGTAGGGCAGCTGGTAGGGCCAGGCAGTGTGTGCAGTAGTCCTTCCTCCCCTTCATAACCGCCCCCCCGAAAATGTAGGAATGAGTCAGTCTGCAACCCAAGGAGGGCACAGTCTGGGTCCAGGCTGTGGTTTGAGTGTTGGAGTATCCAGTTGCCCTGGCGTCTATACCCCTTCACGTTGATGCCATGCTGCCAAAACACAGCTCTCTCCCTGTGTCTCTCTGTCAGTCTGTCTCTCTCTATTGGTTGTCTTAGATTCTATCCTCATCAAACCGTGAATTCAACCCCCCTATGAAACCAGAGCTGCACACTTTTAGCTTAGCATGAAGACAGTAAAGGTACATCAATCCTCTAGGGATTTTTCTCAGCCCATCTGCAAGATAACTTATAAAGGGTTCTCATTGTGTGTGTCTGCACCCCTCCTTTTTGCTCACATGCATGTTACCTGGACCTACAGGCCCTGTTTCAGAGAACACATGCAGTGTAACCTTAACTATCCAAGATAGCTAGTCCTTGCAGGTTTGTTTTAGTACTTCTATTCAGGGACAAAGATGGGAAAGGACACAGCACAGTTTTTGTTTGATTTTCAGCAGGTGTTGATTTGTCTTAGGTTTCTTGTTTTAGAGAAACTAAGTGGACTTTTTTGGGTTACATTGATTATTGAGAATTTAAGTAATGGGGGAATGGTTTACATGTGATCCTTCAAGAGTTTAATCAGCAGACAAGAAAATGTTAGTCACGTGGCTGTATCCACATTCCATGTAAGTCAGAACTTTGAAAGTTGTGTTTGAGTAAAATAAATACACATACACACATATCGGATTGAGCTTGCTGCCATGGTACCCAGGGGTGTGTGGCTTAGCAGTGCCTAAGGGAATTTTAAATAGGGTGTCACGCTTGTAGATTTCCTTTATAGAATCACTTTATTGACGGTGGTTACAGGCTGTGGGCCAGATTTGGTACTTATGGGCGTTGGACTCTCACCCAAATTAACATAGCTGCTTTATATGTAGGGTGCATGTGTGTGTGCCCTAAACATTAGGTGTGCTTCCCTGTGGAAGCCTAGAGGTTTTGGGGATTGGAGTGTTTCAACATCTGTAATTTGTGGGGGTGTTCGCTTGTTTTCAGGGACACTGATGGTCTTCTGTCAATAGACAGCCAAAAATAGGTATAAATTATGAGACATACTTCCCCTGGCCTCTGACATGTAGTTTGAAATGAATAGGATTGACTTGATTCACACATGACATAAAATGTGAATTTTGAAGGACAGCAGCAGTTCTTTAATCAAGGGCTGCATTTTGAATTTGCTGCTGTTTGTGGAGAGTTCAGCATCTGTAAAAAGGTAGTGTCTGGTGTCTGGAGTGAGTGACCTCCTTCTGTATAGTGAAGTAAATGTTCCAGGTGTCCCTTGGTTACAAAACTGTGCTAGGTGTGGAGGACTGTGCTGAGTGATTTATGTGGAACAGGAGCACCTGAGGAGAGCAATAGTAACTAGCCTCTGATTTGAAACCTGTCTGCTTAACTGCTTTTCAGTTTCTAGTGACTTGGTTCTTTCTTAAGGCTCTTGGGCTGCTGTGTGTCTATATGAGCACGGTCAGGTGGCTTAGGGATGCAGGCTCTCTTTTCATGTGGTGGCAGCTTGGACAAAACAATGCCAGACATCATGAGCTGTTGTGGAGCTGCAGGATGCTTCATTCCATTCTAACAGGTTCTTAGAAGGTGATCTCAGTTGGGGGAGGGAGTCTGAGCAGCAGGGGGCCAGAGCCCACAGGGACTTGACCTTAAGAAACAGGCTGGCCCTACTGAGGCTAAGATGACAGCCTACCTAAGAAGTTATTAGCTGCAGAGTTGCTATTTAGGACACATAATTGTGATGTAACCTCCATCTACACATGCATCTTCCTTCTAGCCATCAGCAGCTCTTGGCAGGTAAAGGGTATACAGCGT